CACGTGCTGCTTCCTGTCAGACAGGAAGTCTGTGATCCACCTGCAGGTGGAGTCGGGCACGTGCAGCTGGGAGAGCCGGGATGATGGTGTTGAAGGCGGAGCTGAAGTCCACAAACAGGATCCTGGCGTAGTTTCCTGGAAGAGAAGTGTAAAGCAGGCCTCTTCTTTGAATTGATCAAATCAGTGTAACATCTCAGCTATAACCGCCATGCATTTCTTTAATTAAACTCTCCAAAAGGATTTAATATGGTCAAAAGTCACATGAGGATACCGTGTCATCCATCAGGGAAATTACCACCAAAACCACATCCATACTGTGTCAAAGCAACACGGTATTAAACATGTCTTTGAAATACTTTTTACAGTACTACGGCTTCCACAGAGGACATTTTTGTATGGATTTTTTGTCAAAGCACTTTAGATATTCATTGCTATCGGGATGTTAAGAGCATTCCATGGAATATAACAAAAAGTGTATCTCGAGCCGGTTTCTCAAACTTACCTACCCCACCTTTAACCTGTTTATGTTTGGGTCGGATAGTTTTCTCATGTTTTGAGGGATTACATTTATGTTGACAATGTGGTTTTGAGTTAATTGTGTAACCTGTTGACGGTAAGCCTGTGGGGAGGGGCTATGGGTTCAAAAGGGACGGTGTTGGCCCTGGAAGAGTCATTCGGGAGATGGTTGCAGTGAAGGCAACAGCTAGAATGTGTTTACTCCATGAGTGATAGACAACCTAATTTGGTAACTTTGATTTTGTTTATTTAAGTTATACTGTTTCACTTTTATCAAACAGTATATATTTTTTTGTTGCTGTTATAAAGTTTTGGAGCTTAAATCATCCGACTAAGCCTATGTTTTCAAACAGACAAATAGAACCCTGTCACAAGCAATATCTGTCAGCTTTTTTACAATTGAAATGAATGACGGACTCTTTAAAGTAGAGACACTACATACTGATATATACCTGAACATCAGCAGGAGAGGACTCTTTAAAGTAGAGACACTACATACTGATATACACCTGAACATCAGCAGGAGAGGACTCTTTAAAGTAGAGACACTACATACTGATATACACCTGAACATCAGCAGGAGAGGACTCTTTAAAGTAGAGACACTACATACTGATATACACCTGAACATCAGCAGGAGAGGACTCTTTAAAGTAGAGACACTACATACTGATATACACCTGAACATCAGCAGGAGAGGACTCTTTAAAGTAGAGACACTACATACTGATATACACCTGAACATCAGCAGGAGAGGACTCTTTAAAGTAGAGACACTACATACTGATATACACCTGAACATCAGCAGGAGAGGACTCTTTAAAGTAGAGACACTACATACTGATATACACCTGAACATCAGCAGGGTAGGACTCTTTAAAGTAGAGACACTACATACTGATATACACCTGAACATCAGCAGGAGAGGACTCTTTAAAGTAGAGACACTACATACTGATATACACCTGAACATCAGCAGGAGAGGACTCTTTAAAGTAGAGACACTACATACTGATATACACCTGAACATCAGCAGGAGAGGACTCTTTAAAGTAGAGACACTACATACTGATATACACCTGAACATCAGCAGGAGAGGACTCTTTAAAGTAGAGACACTACATACTGATATACACCTGAACATCAGCAGGAGAGGACTCTTTAAAGTAGAGACACTACATACTGATATACACCTGAACATCAGCAGGAGAGGACTCTTTAAAGTAGAGACACTACATACTGATATACACCTGAACATCAGCAGGAGAGGACTCTTTAAAGTAGAGACACTACATACTGATATACACCTGAACATCAGCAGGAGAGGACTCTTTAAAGTAGAGACACTACATACTGATATACACCTGAACATCAGCAGGGTAGGACTCTTTAAAGTAGAGACACTACATACTGATATACACCTGAACATCAGCAGGAGAGGACTCTTTAAAGTAGAGACACTACATACTGATATACACCTGAACATCAGCAGGAGAGGACTCTTTAAAGTAGAGACACTACATACTGATATACACCTGAACATCAGCAGGAGAGGACTCTTTAAAGTAGAGACACTACATACTGATATACACCTGAACATCAGCAGGAGAGGACTCTTTAAAGTAGAGACACTACATACTGATATACACCTGAACATCAGCAGGAGAGGACTCTTTAAAGTAGAGACACTACATACTGATATACACCTGAACATCAGCAGGAGAGAACTCTTTAAAGTAGAGACACTACATACTGATATACACCTGAACATCATCAGGAGAGGACTCTTTAAAGTAGAGACACTTCATACTGATATACACCTGAACATCAGCAGGAGAGGACTCTTTAAAGTAGAGACACTACATACTGATATACACCTGAACATCAGCAGGAGAGGACTCTTTAAAGTAGAGACACTACATACTGATATACACCTGAACATCAGCAGGAGAGGACTCTTTAAAGTAGAGACACTACATACTGATATACACCTGAACATCAGCAGGAGAGGACTCTTTAAAGTAGAGACACTACATACTGATATACACCTGGAAATGTGCATGATATGTTGTAAAGGGTATGGAAGAAAGAAAACAAGACATTTATTTGCAGTAAATCTGGATTTAAAAATGTTTCTAAAAAGAAATGCAGTTAATTGCTCACACATGTTATGTTCATCTTTAGATTGTTATTTTCTAAATTGGATGTAGTGTATGTGTATGTCCACATTATGTATGCATTAATATTCGTATCAGAAGCTGTCGGACTTCATTGTAGAATAGCACAGATTGTTTCCATATTGTAAGAGAAAGCCCTGAGGCACATTGAGTAAAACTGTTTGAAAAAGACACATCATTGGTGACTCTCCCGCAGGGTTGACGTGACATTATGGGATGACAGTGTTTCCTTGTTCGTAAATTACCCGCTCGCTCTAAATATAAACTCTGACGACAGCAGCTCTTTGAGGCTGTAAAGGGCTTTTATGAAATATTACAAAACATCTGCAGAGTTCAGGTTATTATGTTACCATACACACACACCTTCATGTACACAAACACACATCACATTCATTAAGTGTGATAACAACACAGTGTTTCAAAGCTGTACAAATAAATACTTGGCTAATAATATTGTAAGGATGCTTTTTCATTCGATGAATTCCCAGAGATTAGATTTACTCAAGTCCAATCTGAGGTACTTGTACTTTACTTGAGTATTTCCATGTTATGCTTCTTAGTACATTTACTCCACTACAGTTCAGAGGTAAATGGTGTACTTTTCCTCCACTACATGTATTTAATACCTTTAGTTACTTCACAGATGTGGATGAATGATGTGAAATATAACCAAGTGTTAAATCAGACTTTAGTTCCACCTGGAGTAAATTCACAAGCTACCCTGCAGTATACAAAGTCATTCAAACTAGCTGCACCTTTACCAGCTTTGAGAACACTTTCATGATCAATCATTATAAAACATATCATATATATTATTCTGAAATGGACCAATCTGCACAATGACTACTTTCACTGTCGCTACTTTAACTATATTTTGATGAGAATACTTTTCTACTTTCACTTGAGGAACATTTTGAATGCAGGACTTTTACTGAAACAGAGTATTCCTACACTCTGGTTCTTCTACTTTTACTCAAGTACAAGACCTGAGTACTTCTACTTTTACTCAAGTACCAGATCTGAGTAGTTCTAGGAATCAATAGTTGTTTTGTATATGGTTCTAAAAAATGTTTTCCAGGGTATCAGAATATTAAATTCCTCTTCCCAGAAAGAACAGACCGCATGAGGAAAAGCAGTAAGGCCCTTGCTCTGTAAACAGTGATTATAAATTATTTTATTTATTTTCATTTTTGATAGCCATTCCTGACTTCTTGTATGAGGTGCACAGACCTGTTGTCGGTTTACATCTTTTTTTTAATGTACGTTTCCAGTTAGTTGGAATAGCTGAAAGCAGCTGGTTAAAGTGAAGGAAATCACACATCTGACCATACATACAGCAACAACACTGAAATTAAATTAAATGACCTGTGCTATCTAGTAAATCATTCATGAAAATAATTCCTTTTCTCAGGAGACTTTCCCATAACAGTGGTTTTCCATCTATTAAAACTTCTGAGTTCAACCATATTAATTGATTTTGGATTTCTTCTGGTGTGTCTGGGGGGTCATACTGGAAGCTCAACCAAGCCTTCAATGCATCTTTAACAAATGGTGAGATTTCTACTAATCTTTCTTTGAATAACCATTCACAGTGGTGAGATTTTAAACTGGAAACAGTTTACAGTAAAAAAATAAGTGCCCTGAAAATAAGTTCTGACTTGTTCTCCAAAGACTATTATGATACATCTTATTCATCCAAGATGCTTTTAAGGATGAATTCATTGCTGGCCAAATTTACTTCTACTTTTACTCAAGTACATGATCTGAGTACTTCTACTTTTACTCAAGTACATGATCTGAGTACTTCTACTTTTACTCAAGTACCAGATCCGAGTACTTCTACTTTTACTCAAGTACATGATCTGAGTACTTCTACTTTTACTGAAGTAGCAGTTCAAACTAAACAATACTAGATTAAAAACAACAGTTTGAACCAAAGACAGCTACTTCTTTTTAACAATTATTATTAAAGTTGAAGTTAATTTGTTTTATCTTTGCCAGCATTTTAGCATTTCTTCAACTGGTCTTTATTAGAGTTTAAATGAAAAGTCGATGATTGTTACAGGAAACAACCAAGTCTCACAAAAAAACGTGTAATAGCTACGTTGGTCCGGGCAAGACGTGGTATATTCACAAATAACCCTCTCAAGACGTGACATGGATATGATTTTTTTCCCTATTCATTTCTAATGACCGGTGTCCATGTCACGTGATCGCAAATGTTCCCAGTGTGAGAAAAAAAAACATGGCTCACTGACATTAGAACTTCACTTCCTCTCTAATTCTCCTGCCTCTTCTCATCTACAGGTCTTCTCCATCGTGATCTTCGGATGCATCGCCAACGAGGGCTACATCAACCGGCCCGACACGGCGGAGGAGTTCTGCATCTTCAACAAGAACCAGAACGCCTGTAACTACGGCGTCTTCATGGGCTCCATGGCCTTCCTCTGCTGCCTCGCCTTCCTCGCTCTGGACGTCTACTTCCCCCAGATCAGCAGCGTGAAGGACCGCAAGAAGGCCGTGCTGGCCGACATCGGGCTTTCAGGTAAAGGATCATGCTTCATGTTGAATGTTATCATCCAATATCAAATCAAATCAAATCAAATCAATATTGATAACAAACTGTCAGCTAAACTCTGTTCATGCTTCACCTGCATTATGGCTTGAGAATGAGGGTGGATGAATTGCAAACAGAGATGGCAAAAGTACACACATCCTTTACTCAAGTAGAAGTACAGATACTCGTGTTTAAAAATACTTGAAATGTACTTCAGTAAAAAGTACCCATAACTAGCAGCTGTTTTAAAGAGTACCTGACCTGAACTTATTGTAAGTTGCTGTGGATAAAAAGCATCAGAATAAATAATAAAAATGTTTCTTTGTGATATTTATTTAACGCCAAGTAGGTTGAGACAAAATGTAATACTTCAGGTGGTGTTTGGTGTATTTCAATCATTATTCTAACACTTTCTTTGTGTATTTATCTCTCTCTCTTTGCAGCGTTCTGGTCCTTCATGTGGTTCGTGGGTTTCTGTTTCTTGGCCAATCAGTGGCAGGTGACCAATCACGAGGACAACCCTCTGAGGGAGGGGGGCGACGCCGCCCGGGCCGCCATCACCTTCTCCTTCTTCTCCATCTTCACCTGGGTAAGAGCCACACACATCTCTGGTATAACACAACAGCTGCCCCCTGGTGGAGATGGAGGGCATAACAAGCCACTGACAACTAGAGAAACAGAGAAATAGTGACTGTTAGTAAAATCTCACTGGTCACCGGCTTGAGCTTCAATCTCAGGATCCATGTATTCCTGATCCTCTCCAGAATGGAAGTAGTCTTCACATACAGAGCATCAACTAGTTCCTGAACAGTGTCCTTCACATGCTGATATCCAAGAGAGGGAGTTACACAGTCACAAGATGGAGGAATAGAAAGCAGTATTCAATGTTTACTTCAGATTAGCTCCACGTCAGAAATGATCATGCTTGTCATATGTCTATCTCCATAGAGGCTGAATCATCATGTTAATCACATAGCTATCATATGCCTCAAACAGTCCTGATGCTCTTCTAGGTAATCATACATCCTGTCATGTTCACAGCTACAGTTGGGATACCTTTGTTATCATGTTACTCTGAGATTGGAAGAGTACATTCAGTATGTTCACAACAGTGAGCAACTATTTGATCATTGGTAAAAAAAAAGGACATTTTTCATGCAGAAATGCAGCCTCTCAACTATGGGGATTTCCTGCCTTTCTCTGTTTTATATCATAATAAAAGGAATATCTTGCAGTTAAAGACTGACGGACATGGTGGACATTATGTCTTCAGTTTGTCTGTCCATCAATTACGGCCCGTCCACACAGCAGCGTTAAAAAGATCTTCCAACGCTTCTGCCCATTCACTTTGAATGGGGTGACGTCACTTTGCCTCACTTTTCGCCGAACTGCATTGTGGGAAGCAGAGCGGAGATTTTCAGGCATCTCAGGCTTCAAAAGTTGAGCAATGTTCAACTTTTGAAGCTGAGGTGGAAGCGTCAGCCAATCAAATCCCATTTATGCAAATCTGACAGTACAAGCGCTAGCCAATCAAACGGCGTGTAAGCTGGGAGAGACATACCGCAGGTCATTTCCTCATATTCCAAAACATGGAGGAGAAATTAGCGGTAGGGAATCACCCGGTGCTTTATGACCAGTCCCTATTTACCTACCGGGATACAAACCGGAGGAGCCAGGCATGGAGGGAGGTGGCAGAGACAGTGGTATGTTTTCGCCTGTTTGGGGAGTTTATATCCAGTTTACTTCGGGCTTTTTTGCTTCGTATGTCGGGGGCGGGAGATTCATGTGATTGGTTGTTGGTCGCGTCCAAGATTTTTTTAACGCTGCTGTGTGGACGTACCGTTATCGTAAATGCAAGTATTCTCCATCTTCAGCTGGGTAAGAGCCTCCACACATCTCAGCAGACACAACATAACTCCTGCCCCCTGGTGGAGATGGAGGGCATAACAAGCCAGAAAGCTAGATCTGCAACAATTACAAAGATAATGGCCATCTTTTTAGACAATAGATTTTCAGTTTGTTATGAAAAAATGCCGAAAATATATTTTTACAGACACTCATATATGGAGACTTGCTTCTTCTCTATTTTATCAAATGATAAAGTGAACATATGTGCGTTATTTGACAGACACAACTTTAGGAAACTGGGATGGAAATTATGTTCTCTGGTTTTCTGTCCATTGATTATCATGAATGCAAGGTCTCAGAAATACCTTTTGGACATTTCTTTAATTTAGGAAAAACAGCCACTTTGACTTTAGGAGGAACTGATTAGAAACCTGGGGGGCAAGAATATAATTCCTCCTTTATTATCTTTTGAAAGTTCTTGACGAATCTTCTTTTTAGTCACTGTTTGGATCCGTGTGTTTCTTTGATTCAATTTAAATTCAATTTAGGAAAAAACTTCCACTTGGACTTTCTGTAAGGATTTGGGGATCAAAGGACCCTCGTATTTGGCCAAAACTCAAGAACTCTTAGGTTAATCACGACAATTTTGCACAAATATCTAATAGTGACATGTTCGTTTCTATAATTCAGTTTGAATTCAATTCATACACAAACTTCCACTCGGACTTTAAGATAAAATTATCCAAATTTGGCGATCAAAGGTTCCTCGTATTTGGACAAAACTCAAGAACTCATATGTTAATTATGTTGATTTTCTTCCAATTATATAATAGAACAAAACATTTTGGAAAAACATGGATGTTAAAAACTTGATTGGTTGGAGGAGACATACAAAACAAGGCGATTCTTCTTATTCACAATGTTAAAGTTACAATTCCTCTTTGATGAGTTTTTGGAAATGTGTAGGACTTGATGGATCTTTTTTTGGTCAGTGATTTGATGCGTGTGATTGTGTTTGTTTCTGTAATTCAAATTCAATTTAGGCAGAAACTTCCACTTGGATGTAAGGATGAAATGATTCAAAGTTGGCGGTCAAAGAGTCACTCTTATTTGGCCAAAAGTCAAGAACTCCTCTGCTAATTATGACGTTTATTACACAAATATCTAATAGAATGCAAATGATAAAGGAATGCTATTCTGCACATATTTGTGGATGGTGGAGACATGCAATGCAAGACGATAATTCTAGTACACAAAGCCATTTTTATAGATTAATTGGTTAATTGGCTAGTTGCAAAGAATCGCAGTTAATCAATGATGGAGACGACCATGAGTTGCAGCCCCACTGAACTTCCTTTCAACTTTGAACTCTCTTCCTCAATTAGCTCTTGAAAATGCAGAGGTTTTGACTCATTTTCTCCATTTCTTTGGATGTGTGTACATGTAAACTCATGAGCCTTTATTCCCACAGGGCGCTCAGACTCTCTTCTCTATGGAGAAGTTAAAGAATGTGTCGTTTGAAGAGGAATACACCAAGCTGTTCCCCCCCCAGCCCCATCAGCCTCTTGTCTGATTCTGTCTCACACACACACACACACACACACACACACACACACACACACACACACACACACACACACACACACACACACACACACACACACACACATCACTCTTCACGATGATTCGACACCTTTTTTTGCCAAATGCTGAGATTTTCTAGCGTTAAACACCCACTTAAATTCCTTTAATCTCTTTTGGAACGAATGCTCCGGGAGTTTTTAAAGTGCACCTCACCAACAAATGTTGAGAGCTTAAGTAGTCAAAAAGATTTAGAAGAAAGCATGTAAACAAAACGTTTTTACTTCATATTCAAAGTTTGCCAGTGTGTGTTTGTGTCCAGGGTTTACAGAGTGATTGATGCTTTGCTTTTTATTTGTAACGTAGGATTTATTAGGGTTGGTTTTTATACGCAAACAACTCTGGTTAAAACTTAACTCAGCGCTTTGCTTGATGCTGTAAAAGGTTTTGTATTTGTTCTGCTTTTTGATAAAGTTACATTCAAAAGGTTTTCTCTTCATTCTCCTGACTCCATATTCACTGATTCCACGGTTCAAAGTCTTTATGCTAAGCTAGGCTAAGCTAAGCTACGCTAACCAAAGTTACCAGCTGCTGCCTCATATTGCACAGACAAAAAATAAGGTGTTATCAGTATTTTCTAACTCAAAAGTCAAGAAGTGTTATTTCCTAAAATGTCAAAATAGTCCCTACATTTTCCTATTTTTTGTATCAAAGTATTCCGTATTTGCACGTCCATGCTTTCCCATAAAGTAGACAGTTGTAAGACATTTGATTAAAGTTTTGAATTACTTTGAAGCATATGCACTGTTCTGATTTTAATTGCTTTATGCATGTTATTGGGTTATTAAGTTATAAGTTATTATACCAAATTCCCCAACAACCAATAACAATCAGATTTTTTTGACGGTTTTTCCTTTGTTATTATATCAGACAATTACTGACTTTAATATTATGCAACCAACCAGCTGGACAAGATGTTGAAAGACAGACTGAAGAGTTAAAGTGAACCACATTAGATCTAAAGGACCCGAGACACTCAGTAAACCAAACCTTAATAAATCCTTCCATCGTTTAGTCGTCTCATTTAGACATTTGTTGAAACCGCCATCTTTAAATCCACTAGTGGGGTATTTACTGACCTGATTTCAGGATGACAACCAAAAACACATTCAGAAAACTATTGACTTCATGCTGACTCATTCCCAGGTTCACTGTCCTTTCTGCTTCCTGTAGAACAAACTCTCTGACTGAATATCTCGCTAAAACTACACTCTCTGCTACCATTATCCTCCATCTTTATTCACCCTTCCTCCTCCGTCCTCCATACACTATGTTGAAAGACAAAAGAAAGCACTGAAGACACTTGTCAGCATCCTCCATTTTTGTATTCTTCAGTGGGGTATTTACTGGTGTTTCATATCGTAGAACTAAAATCTCTTGGGCTTGTGTTAACCACCGTTATATTTCAGGATAACACATTCAGTAAACCATTGAATTCCAGGGGACAGGAAATGCTAAATTGTTGACTCATTCCCAGGTGCAGTTATTACTGAAACTACTGAATTTCCCCACAGGGATTGATAAAGGTCCATCTTATATATCTCTTACATATCTTATATCTTATAGTTCTTCACACTGGCCTTTCTGCTTCTTGTAGAACTAACTCTCTGACTGAATATCTCGCTAAAACTAATCACCAGCTTTTCACTTCGACTAATCAATGTTTCCTTCTCTTCCCCCCCCCCCCCCTTCTCTCTTTCCTTCCGCTCTAACACTCTCCGCTCCCATTATCCTCCATCTTTTTTCACCCTTCCTCCTCCTTCTTCCTCCCCCAAGGCTGGTCAGTCCTTCCTGGGCTTCCAGAGATACAAACTGGGTGCCGACTCGGCTCTTTTCTCCCAGGAATACACGGACCCCAGCCAGGACGCAGCGGGGGGGCCGTACACCTCCTTCGGGGGGGGGGGAGGACCTGGAGAGCCCCGTCGGAGGAGGAGGAGGGGGGGGCGGCGGCCAATAGCGAGGCTGCGTTCGACGGCAGCGGAGGGTACCAACGTCAAGACTACTGAGGGAGAAATAGTGAGGGGGGGGGGGGGAAGTTACCCATCGTGTCTCACTTAGAATCAGAGGTAAATTGGTGGTAAAACACCGGTCCAAATGGGTTGTTTTGACATGAGTTTAAAGTAAAAAACGCCAGAAATCTATGGAAGTTTTTACTTGTAACAGAGTATCTTTACTATTATTTAAGTATAAGACATTTTAAAGATAAATGGACAAAAACAATGTGCATTTCTTATGGCAAAGGACACGTGATTTTAGTTTGGATTAATAACCTAGAAGTACAGATGTCAACATCAAGGTTAAGTTACCAATAGTTCCTAACTTAGAATCAAAGTCAATTGGGGGTAATATAGAAACAATACCAGTCCCAATAGGTTGTTTTGACCTGAATTTAACCTAAAAAAATGCAGAAAGATCTGTTGTTATTTGTAACAGAGTACTTTTACCTTTACTTGAGTAAAATATGTTGGTACTTCTTCCACTACTAACATTTTAAAGTTAAATGGACAAAAACAATGTGCATCTCTTACGGCAATGGACACATGATTTGAGCTCTGGTTAATTACCCAGAAGTACAGGCGTCAACATCCACGTTAAGTTACCAGTAGTTCCTCATTTTGAGTGGGGTTAGATATAGTTTTTATTGTACAAAAAACAATTGTAGTTTGGGTAAACATTACATGACATGCTACTTGTTAGACGCTTTTATCCAAAGCGACTTACATACTCAATACTGTGGGCAATCCCCACAGGAGCAATTTGGGGTGAAGTGTCTCAGGGACACAACGACATGCTGACTGCAGTGGGGTTTGAACCTGCTCCCCTGATCCGAACACCAACAAACCAGTCCACTGCGCCACACGCCTCCCTAAACATCGCATCGTGCGGCAATACCAGAACCAATGGGTTGTTTTGACCAGAGTTTTACTGTAAAAACACAAAGAAAAACCTTGTTAAATGTACAAGACAATGAGCATATGCTATTTATAATGATAAAGGAGACACATATTGCTAACAACCGTTTAACAATGATTTATACTAGCCTTTAATGTGTTATTGTTGTGTTTAAATGCAACAATTCTGCATTTATCTGGGGGCGAAAGTTGGTGGACTTCATACCTGCAACATTTCAGTTATTCCATAAAAGTCTGAATTATCTCTAAATTTGAAAATGTGGGTAACTTTCCAGATTTTGGGGAGAAAATGTCGATTATTTGGTGAATAAATTGTGAGGTTTGCAGAAAGACAGGTCAATGCTGGTGACCACATTGCCTTCATCCTCCAGCAAAACGACTGCGATCAGTGTTACACACACACACACACACTACATACACACTATTTATCGTGGAATAAATTGACAATGTCACAAGGGGGTTATAGAGAGTAAAATGCCATTGCAGTCAAAACAAAGTGACAACCGGCCTAAATGTCCTCACTCTGCAAAATAGTCCTCACTCCAAAGGTTAATAACCCATGTGTGTCCTCACAAAGATAGCAGTACAAACACACACACACAAGCACATTTTAACACAGGTTTGTCTGCAGTTTAAACTTCTTAAAGGTGCGTTACAGGATCTCAAACAGTGGCATATCGGGCAACTAATCCCCTCACCTGTAAAAACGACAGTGTGTGTGTTTTTTTTTTTACGTGTGGCTGTTGGAAAGTGTGTTTTTGTTTCTTGTTTCCCTGAATGAATTTTCTCCTCGATTGTTGCCTTAGTGCAGACTGCCAAGCGAAATCCAAGGACAGATTCCCAACGTGCACAGAAGTTATTTTTGTCGTTAAGCACATAACAAAACCTGAACAAAAGAAGCATTAATAAAGAGCATCTTCAGAAACACAAAATGGCCGACAGATAACACACAACAGGTTATTTATCCACTTTATTTCTGCAGATCCACACACGATGCAAACATCCTGAGTATTTATGAACATGCATTGCTCCATTTTCTTAAAGAATAAAGTATATCTATCTCTATAAATATATGTAAATCTATAATTCAGCATATTAGAGTGTTTGAAAATGCTTTATTTTTAGGGCATTATGCTAGTTCTGTATAAAAAAACGGTTAAATAAAAAGACAAAAGAAATGTTCAGTGTTTTATTGTGATAAGCTTTCAGGGTCAGGAGATGCTTTTATTTTGAAATAATAACTAATTATAAAAACAAAAAATGTGACCAAATGACCAAAGTATATATACGCACATATATACTTTATATACCGTGTAGACGTCTAGATGTGTGACGTTCCTTTTGTGAAGTCCATTTTAAAAAAAAGGTTAGATTAAGACACAGATTGTGTACAAATGTATGTTTTTGTTGTGATTTCAACCAATACAAATAAAGGAAATACTGATAAAGATAGAAATGTCTGCTGTTGGATTTTCTTGAATGTATTTATTTTAAATATTCATATTTATATATTAATGTTTTACTTACTTAAAGGTAGGGTAGGTAAGTTTGAGAAACCGGCTCGAGATACACTTTTTGTTATATTCCATGGAATGCTCTTAACATCCCGATAGCAATGAATATCTGAAGTGCTTTGACAAAAAATCCATTAAAAAATGTCATCTGTGGAAGCCGTAGTACTGTAAAAAGTACGACCAATCATCTGAGCCGGCCCGGCTAAAATAACTGGATGGCCTACCTGCCTGTCAGCCTTCCATCTGTTCACAAACTTATCTCGTGCCCTCATTGGTCATGTGCGCATTCGTGTGTTGGAGGAGGGGCTCTGTAAGGAAGTGGCAGATTTTCTCCGGTTGTGTATCTTCAAATTCTAGCGATCTCGAGCCGGTTTCTCAAACTTACCTACCCTACCTTTAAAGGGGACCTATCATGCTAAATGCACTTTTTGATGTATTTTCTACATAACTATGTGTCCCCGGTGTGTCAGGAGACTCACGCAGCGTCAGAAAATAAAACCCTCTCTCTTCTCCTCCGTACCCAAAACTCTAAAAACGGGGGTACAACGGAGCTGATCCAGATTTGCGTCCGATATGATGTCAAATCGGCGGCGGACCCACGGCACTATCAGAAATTTGCTATCAGAATCAATGCCCGACTGTTTTGGACGTAATATGGTCGGTGTTTACATTAGCATCGCTAACACTCAGAGCTAACCTGTACTGGAGAGCATGTGTGTGAAGAAGCAGGAAATAAAAAGGAACTCACCTTGTGGTATAACCGGCAAGAGAGAAAGCCTTTGAGCTCCATACTGTTTCAGAAATAATCCATGATATGGCGTTTCATCACGGCAGTATTTAGTTTAGACAGTAGCTGCCGGGTCCCGCATGAGCTCAGCCCTATCCTTTTAAAAAAAAAAAAAGCTTTATACCCAAAATCAGCACTTTTGAAACAGAAAGTGAAATAGAGCAACCCAGTCTCACGGCATTCCGTGTTATAGTCACGACATTTAATCTATTGATTCGTATTCACCAACACGATTTTCCCCTTTTTTTCGTGTCACACAGAACGATTTTAAAAGCAATGTATTTCTATTGGTAGTATGTTTCATGCCTGCACCACGTCTTTTTGTCCGGTCGGGTCTTGGAAGACCAGAAGCTGTGTGGTTCATAAAAACATGTTCTTACTCAATATCAAGCCACGATTATTGTTTTTATTTTAAATTGTATAATGTCTGACTTGTTTTGCCGTCTGTGAGGAAAAGAAATGGGGCTCAGAGCCTCAGAATACTAAAATCTGTATTTTTTTAAATCTTTTTTTCCTTCTAATTTGTTATTCTTTTCTAAATAACACACTGTTATTTACTCAACAATAACACACAATTATCCTTGTTTTTATTTATTTGGTTGATTCTATAATCTCTGGCTTTTTTACCGTCCATCAGGAAGTGAATTTCAAAATAAAGTAACAGGAAACAGACGTAGGCCTATAAGGGACATTTCGAGAATCATTGCGATACACACCCACTGAACTGATTACCCAAGATCCTCAGCTATGGTTTAAGCTCGGTGATTGGATGTTTTAGCCGCAATGCACGTTGGGATATGGTGTTAATGCGATATGAAATCCGAAAAACCTTTCGGAGTTTAGGATGGCCGAAGACACTACACTACCCATAATCCTCAGCTATCGTTTGGGACTACAGTCCCGTTGCTTGACAAACCCTGTGATTAATCTTCAAGCTCTGGGATTGGATGTTGGAGTGGCAGTGTGCCAAGGTTTCGCCGAGCGTCAAACAGCTCTTTGAAATGGAACGAAACCACGGCAGACTATCCAAAACTGGACTCGAACGGGACCAGCCCCCCCCCCCCCCCAGAACTACACATGCTGGCTATTGTGTTTCGCAAAATGTTCTATGGGACGTCTCTACTGGGAACGTTTTCGTTTGTCCCACAATTAGAAGTTGCCAGTATTAAACACATTGGTGTTATCAAATTTAAAACATATAATTAATTAATGGGTGAAAATTGCTTGTGTCCGGCAGCATTAATATATACCCACATGACAGCTCATTGTTACTTTGTAATTCTACTCCACTACAATTCAGAGGTTAACCTGGTATTTTACTCCACTACATTTATTTTACATCAGATTCTGATTAATGATGTGAAATATAAACAACTCTTAAATCAGACTTTAGTCACACCTGAGTAAAATTCAGGGAAAGGTGATTGTCAAGTGCCAACAATCAGGAAAGATATTTGATAGTTGCTGCTTGAGAAGACTAAACATGTATCTGCAGATCCCTATAAAGTCTATTCATTACTCGTTATTCTCTACTAATAGTTAATTAAAAACTGTATATAATAGCTATTTTGCACATCCCTTTCAAGATTTCAAGATTTTCTAAGGTTTATTGACATATCATATACACAACTACGGTGTAGTTATGCAATGAATGAAAAACTTGGGTCGCAGGTTCCTCAACAGTGCATTACAAGACATCTATCAATATGTGTTTACCTCCGTCATATTCTGCACATTTCTTATACTATCTACATACATATTATAAGAGTATAATTAATATGTATAATATCAGTTAAAATAAGTGCTTCAACATGGTTAACATTGCAGGAAAGCAATATATTAGACGTTAAGTACTTTGTCAGGCTTAATATTTATCTGCAGATACCCCCAAAGCTTTTTTCTTATTGAAAAGAAGACCTAAAGTATTCTTTAATGTTTAAATAAAGGTTAATTCGTTTTTCTGTTTTGGACATCCTCATATTAATATCTTTATACATCCGGCACTAAACTGTTTTATTGTAGAGATCACTTACAGTATCTTCTTGATTTTTTATATTCTATATTTCTATCATTGACCTTCTACTTTCCCCCTGTGAAAGTATGTACTCTTAATATTTTTTAAGAGATGCAGTGCAAAAATAAAAAATGGACTATGGGACCATATTTTGGGCCAAAAATGCATATTTCTTGTAGCTTTTTAATACCACCAGGGGGCGCCAAAGTCAATAGAAAATGTCATACAATCTGAATCTTTATAAACAACCATTCATAGCAGAAACAAGGCAAACATGTGTGTACAATTCTCTACATTTTAAATGTGTTCTTGAAATGCAGGTTAATCAAATGAGAAAGTCTTCCTCCACACATTGTTTTAACGTCAGAATATTGAGGATGAAGTAGAATAACATAACACTTATGAGAATAAATGATATACTGAAGCTTCACATGTATTCTCTTTAATATCTAAAAGCATAAAGTGAGTCACTTTGTTGATGAATGGGAGACATTTCTGAATCAGAAGAATAAATATTATGTGGGAATCTTGATTTTATTCTTGACTCATCTTCCTCTTCCTCCCGGTTGTCTGTCCTTAACCTGTTAAGCACCAAGCCTGTTTTTCATGTTTCAGGCTCGAAAATGACATGCCCAAAACAAATGACTACAACTTAACTTCTAAAAGGGTTATATGAATAATTCCTTTTATCAAAGCAAGGTTACATCTGTGAGTTGGATGTAGAAGTGTCAGAATCAATATAAATGTTTTTTATTTTAAAGAAAATTCAGATTTTACATAGTAAAAAACTGTAAATTATAGTGTCCGTCCAAAAATTATTTTTTTACAGATAGTGAAAACTACCCTTGGATGATGGGTTAGTAGACTAAAAGCTTTAGGAATCCAAAGTACAACATATAATAAGTACCCTGTATCAAGATTGATGCAAAACAAGTGACATTTGACCTTTTTAGAGAGGAGTAGTATTACAAATGCCCCTTCAATCACATTAGTATGCATAAAAAGTGACAGGTCACACCTGCCTCATCAGTACTACTACTTATGCTAATGAGCCCCTTTGATATGTTAATGAGCCCCTTTGTTCGAGGTGTTATCACATGTAGGTGTGATATTCCCCCATTGTAGTAGATCCTTTGATGTGTAATCTAATTACCCTTTGATGTCTGATCCCTTTGATGTCTATCCTTTGATGTGAGGGGTGAGGTGTATGTGACATGTAGGTGTGATATTCCCTGTTGTAGTAGATCCTTTGTTGTATAATCTAATTAGCCTTTGATGTCTGACCCCTTGTTGTCTAATCTAATTATACCCTTTGGTGTCTGTCCTTTGATGTAAGGTGGGAGGTGTTATAACATGTAGGTGTGATATTCTCCCTTGTAGTAGATCCTTTGATGTCAATCTAATTAGCCCTTTGATGTATGTCCTTTGATCAGTGTTTGTAATTAGTGTTAAGGTAGTCTCTTTGAAGTTGTGTGAGACTGTCTCGCACCCCGTCCTCCTCTCACCCCTTCCCCCTTCCCCCTTCCTTTTGCTGTGATGTCAGAAGATAGAGGTGGAGGGTGGAGTTAGATGAAAAATAATTCCGTGCAAACTAGATAAAAAGCCACTCACCAAGTCACCTAAACTTTTCAAAAACGAAATGGCAAAGAGACGCAGCGATATGGGTTTAATCAGCGAGACGCCGGTAACAACTTACCACCATCCGTCGGGGGCGCCAGTCAAGAAACGGATGCAGTATCTGTGCCGGGTTCAGACCCTCCGTATGAGGCTCTTCATGAAAAATGGAGTCTGGATGTGTGAGACTGTCTCCCCTCACACCACCCTCCCACCCCCTCCCCTCCCCCTGCCTGTCACCTCCTGATCTTGCCATCAGCCGTTAATTCTCATTCACTAAGTCACCTAAAACTTTTATTGGAATGGGGTTTTTCTTTAGAGCTGTTTTCAGTGAGACAATGCAGTTTCTGATCATTTTAAGTTTCAAGTTTCAAGGCTTTATGGCATATGCCCATTAGCTACAGTGTAGATATGTCAATGAAAAAACATAGGTCACAGGCTCCTCCAACAGTGCACATAAAACAGATAAAATACTGCAATTTGTGCGTAATTCTCTCACAAAGGAACTGTAAGATACACGTTTATG